CCGAAAAGGGCAACAAAAATGATTAGGGGTATAGAATGGCTTCCGTATGAGGAGAGATTAATAAGACTGGGACTTTTTACCTTGGAAAAGAGGCGACTACAGGGGGATATGATAGAGGTCTATAAAATCATGAGTGGTATAGAGAAAGTAAATAAGGAAGTGTTATTTATGCCTTCTCATAATACAAGAACAAGGGGCCACCAAATGAAATTAATAGGTAGCGGGTTTAAAACGAGCACAAGAAAGTATTTTTTCACACAATGCACTGTCAACCTCTGGAACTCCTTGCCAGAGGGTGTTGTGAAGGCCAATACTATAACGGGATTCAAAAGGGAGCTAAATAGATTCGTGGAAGTTAGGTCCATCAATGACTATTAGGCAGGATGGGCAGGAATGGTATCTCTAGCCTCTGTTTGCTAGAAACTGGAATTGGATGAAAGAGCATGGATCACTTGATGATAACCTGTTCATTCCCTTTGGGGCACCTGCCATTGGCCACTGTCAGAGGACAGGATACTGGGCTTGATGGACCTTTGGTCTGACCCAGTATGGCCGTTCTTATGTTTCTTATGTGTCAAGTATGCATGTTTTGGTTGATGACATACACCTGGATGATCTGGCAAAAGCAGAAAGTATATGAGAACGTGATACAAGCATCATGCACTTTATCATCCGGAATAGGACAAGGGACCACCATTCAAGAATAGGGAATTCCTGGACTATGCTAAAATATGTGAATTTGAAGCCATAGATACCTATAAACAAAGGAAGTTGACGGATATGGAGTCCTTAAAGAACTTGCTCCAGAAATTAACTGATGCTAGAGAAAATTCACTTTTAGCCCAACCCAGCTAGGGAACTACGCTGCTACAAAGTGGAAAAATCAATGTGAGAATTTTTTTGTCTAACAGACATACACACACTCATTTACTAGATATGAGAAATAACCAAGGTTCTTCTGTACCTACCTTGGCACACAAAAGAATATCCAGGAAGTCCAGGTGTCTCTTCTTCTGAATCTTTTCAAGTTCTCGCTCGTCTTTGAGGGATTTCTTCCTCTCCTTTATCACTTTATCTGTTTCAGAAAAAGAATAATAAAAATATATATTTCAAGACTCTGGATTTCTCTGTTAGCTCTACCAACAGAGTGAAGGACCATCATTCAACATGTGAGGGTTTTCTGGCCCCATCATCCTCCATGTTGATGATGATAGGATTCACTCTGTGTACCATAGGATGCAGGGCAGAAGGGCAAAAGCAGAGGCCTGTTAGAAGGACTCTACTCGGTGCTTTCTTGTATCCGTATGTGGGGAGGAATGGGATTTCTCTCATTCCATTACCCAATTGGCTGCACAGTTATTTCTCACTAAATTTGAGTTTGCATAATTCGAATGTAGAGGAAGGTAAGTCCTCAAATCCAGCCCAGATAGGTAATGACTGCAAGGTGCAATCAGATGTCCACCTCACATAACACCTTTGATGGCAGCCTTATCAAAGAAGCCAAGGGTCCATGAAGAGTGCACCTCCCTCTCACCTCTAAAAGTGGACTCCCCAGAATAGGAGTGAGGCACACTGGCAGAACAATATGTGGGAAGCTTGCACCGCTATACAATGTCTATAGATCAATAGAAGACTTTGTTGCTATACAAAGGCCTGGTCCCCACTAAGCCCCCACTTTGGACTAAGGTACGCAAATTCAGCTACGTTAATAACGTAGCTGAATTCGAAGTACCTTAGTCCGAATTTACCGCGGGTCCAGACGCGGCAGGAAGGCTCCCCCGTCGATGCCGCGTACTCCTCTCGGCGAGCTGGAGTACCGGCGTCAACGGCGAGCACTTCCGGGATCGATCCGGGATCGATTTACGCGTCTTAACCAGTCTATAGATCAATAGAAGACTTTGTTGCTATGAAGAATACTGAGAGTCATAGAGACCAAGGCAACAATCTGGCTTCTGTTGAAGTCAACTGATCGCTTCTCACTGGCTTCAGCGGGAGTTAGATTTTCTCTAAAGAACTTTTAGCCCTTCCCCCTAAGTTTCAGAGAAAGACAGCGACAAGAACATTGGGAAATACCTGTTTGGAGATGCACCATTTCACAGGCCTTCTGGAAGCGACGTCCATCACGACTGAGCCAATAGATGAAATCAATTTGATATGGGAGGTACCATATCCTGTAATTTATCTGAAAGGTGATTTCAAAGACAGATTTGATGTAGGAATTCTCCCTGAAAGAAAAGTTTATAGAAGGATTTAAATGGCATTTAGCAAAGTATACAACTTTTCTGCCTCTGGTACATAGTCACCATTAATCCCAACGTTGCAATATCCTATACCTAAACAGTGAGTTAGTGGCAGCAATATATCCAGATAACATTGCATAAAGCTCCCATTTAGAGCTGGGAGAATAACTGATGTTTTGGTTTGAAGGCAGTTCTAAAAAATAAAATAAAAAATTCAGTTTGGGTTGAACTGAAGCCAAAACTTTTCAGTGAATCAAAAAAGTCTATTTTCTAGAGGCGGATTCAAACCAGAGTCTCAGATATCTTAACCACTGGGCTAAAGGTTATAAAGGGCGTGGGAGGAGGGGTATCGCAACAGAACCACACCACACTGCCCCCTTCTCCTCCAGCTGTTTTGTGACTATTTGTGTCAAATTCGCAAATAGTTTTGAGTCAACCAAAACTGCATTTTTTGGCAAATAAATTATTTGTCCAAAAAATGTTGCCCCAGGTCTACCCCTTGTACTGACCTGTCAATCTGGCAGTTGCTCTCATGACTAAAGGCACATTTTAAGATGCTGTCAAGAGTCATCAAGCTGACATGTCCAAAGAGCTCCACCGACTTCTCCTGAGTGATCAGATGTTCCCATTTATCCTAATGCAAGAAGGAGACGGAAATGAGATGGGACAGAAGTGCTTTGCTAGTTGCTACAGCAACAAGGTGAATGAGGCAATAGCTTTCATTGGACCAACTTCCATGGTGAGAGAGACATGTTTTTGAGCTTACACAGAACTGTCGATATACCTAACATCACAGGAGAGTGGGTCGTTGACCCCCTCAGGTGGCTGATTGGTATAATGATTGGAGAAAGTAAATAAGGAAGCGTTATTTACTCCTTCTCATAACACAAGAACTAGGGGGTCACCAAATGAAATGAATAGTGAGCAGTTTAAAACAAGCAAAAGGAAGAATTTTTTCACACAACGCCGTCAACCTGTGGAACTCGTTTCCAGGAGACAGTGTGAAGGCCAAGATTATAACAGGATTCAAAAAAGAACTAGATAAGTTCATGAAGGATGGGTCCATCAATGGCTGTTGGCCAGGATGGGCAGGGATGGTGTACTAGCCTATGTTTGCCAGAGGCTGGGAATGGGTGACACGGGATGGATCACTTGATGTTCTTCTTATGTTAACCTTACCACCTACCAGCTCCAAGAGAAAGACAGAAGAGAGCTCCCGCACCACCACCACCTTACCCTCAACTTCCCAGTTAAAGGATCAAGAGAACTAGTATTGCCAGCACTCGTGATTTTATTATGAGTATCATGATATTTGGTGTTTCTCTTAAAGCCCCAGCTCCTGGAGTCATGCGAATACATGAAAATCTCAGCTTTCATTTTTAAACAAGAAAGCTTCTAGCCCTCATGATTGCAGAGAAAGGCTTGAAAATGTGACCCAAGTGCACTCGAAAGAGTTCAGAGACCAGAGGGCAAATAAAAAGAATCCAGTTTACCAATGGATGGAAGCTAAAGCCAAACAAATTCAGATTAGAACTAAGACACACATTTTTAACAGTGATAGTGATTAACCCTAGGAACAAACTACCAAGGGAAATGGTGCCTTCTCCATCTCTTGATGTCTTCAGATCCAGACCCAGGGCCTTTCTGGAAGAAATGCTTTAGCTAAATACAAATTACAGGGCTTGAGAAATGGGGTGAAATTCTATGGCCTGTTTTCTACAGGAGGTCAGATTAAGTGATCTAATGGTGCCTTCTGGCCTTGATTCATTCAAAGATTCACAGCGTTTATTATTATTATTTATTATTGTTTTAATCTCATGAGTTTTAATCCAATCTCATGATTTTGACGGGCCTGAATCCTGCAGGTTAATAGTACCAGGATATAAAATGGCCCTGTGAACTCCTTTCCCCCCTCCTGATTACTCCTGAGGGTGAGGTGGGGGGGAATTTAGCAGAGGAGCTGTGACTGGGTGTATCAACCCCGCATTGGTGACACAGGGATTAACAAACTGCTTTGTGTCCAAGAGGCCACGCCCCCTCGCCTTTGCTGGGCACACTCCCAGTGGAGGGAGCATATAAAAGGAAACAGCTCAGCCCAGTCTGGGCTGGCTGAGGAGGAAAGCGGACATGCATGGCAGGCTTCTGCTGAGAAGCCAACAGGACTACAAACCGCCAAGGCTGAGAATCCTGACTATACCACAGGAACCCAGTTCACCGTAGGGACTGAAGGGGATGATGCACTGCAACCAGTGGAAGAGATACCAGAGTAAGGACTAAGGGTAGGAAGCGGCCCGGGGGACATGCTTGGGGATATGGAGACCTGAACCCTGCAACGAGGTAATGGGTTTTGAAGGGCCTGGTTCAGATCATGGTGGAGTAGGGTGGGCCCGGGTTCCCCTCCCCTCCCTGCACTTGCCACTGGGCCATACCACTGCCAGAGAGGGCAGCTCCTTGGTCTATTGCCGCTACGTGCTACCGCTGCCAGAGAAGGCAGCCCTCTGGACTCCTGTCACTAGGCATGGCTACCTCCAGAAAGAGGGCGACTCCTGAGACTCTCACTACTTATTCCTACTAGAAAAGACACCCTCTTAGATTCCCACTGCCGGGGCACTGCTGCCCTGAAGCCAAGCAGCACATTGGACCCCCGCTGGCCCTCTGACAAGAAGAGAATGTAGGGCCCAATGGAAGTGAATTGGGGGAGAATGGAAGGGGGAAGAGGAAGAAATGGAGGAGGGCAGAGGGCACATTTATACAGAAGAAGGCAGGAAAAAGTTATTCATCAGGGGAAACGGGAAAACTAAGGCAAAGGCGAGCAGACAGAACGGGAAGAGTGAGAACAAAAAACTCAGGTATTAATCAAACAGTTCAAAATAACGGCCACAACAATGACCTGGGCGCTGGAAAACAAGCTTTCCAATGGGAGACCTAAGGAGCTCAACCCACTCAGCTTACCCAAGAGACGGCTGAGAGGCGACTTAACGCTGTGAATCGGTACTTATGCGTGGGAAAGATATCTGATGGTGTGGGGCTCTTCAGCGTTGCTGATGAAGGCGTAACAAGACCCGGGAGCTGAAAATTGAAGCTAGGTGATTTCCTAAACACTGGATCAGCTTATCCGTGTTGGGGGTGGACTTGCCATCACTTGGAACCTGTGTGTGCAATGGGGTCAAATGGATGTTCGTAGCAGTCTCTTCCGGCTTTGGGATCTGTGAATCTTTGGGTCCCCCGTTCATCTCCTTTCTTCACTGGCCATGGGGAGAACAGGATCGCCTGCATTGCCCTCAACATGCTCATAACACTTGCATCTCTGTATTAAGAGAATGACTGTAATCAAATCGGATGCTTCAGGGCTTCAGTCATTTGCCTGACTAAGGCAAGGAAGTAAGGAAGGAATATTTTTCCTGGTGCACAATTGGCTAGATGAATACTGAGGGGTTTTCCCACATTTCTTTGAAACGTCAGAGATTGGCCACCGCTTGGGACAGGATATTGGACAGGGTGGACCAGTACTCTGAGGTGGTACAGAGAATCCTCTTTCAAGATGCCCGGCTGGTTTGACTCTCTCCTGGGTCATATTGATGGACAGATTTGGAGTTGGGAGGGAATTTTCCCCCAGAGTACATTGGAAGAGGCCTGCGAGGGGGGTTCGTCTGCAACATGGGGCCAGTGCACTCCCCTGATCCTGGGTCTGGTTTGACCTATAGACTCAGGGCTACTCTAACTTGCTTTCAACTGCAACATGTCCCAAGGAACTACACTAGCAGCAGGGGACTGCTGGAGCACGGATGCTCTCTGGAAAACCCCCTCTGGTCACCCCCACCTCCATGCTGGGGTTTAAAGAGTGTGTGTTGGGAGGATGATATAGGGCTCGCTATATTAGCTCTCTAGTGATTTATACTTGTTCAAAGTGAGTGCAAAGAGGATGTAAAATGTTACCACCATTGTGAGTGAGTGGAGAATTCTGATTTGGTAACGTGTAAATTATGTCATAGCCCTCAAGACAGCAGTGAATCACCCCATATGTCCTTCAAATAGTACATCATGCAGGCAGAGATTCCAAGAGAACAGCGAAGAAACGGCAAGAGAAGTTTTGCCTTTAGCATAAAAGTTGGAAAAGAACCAAGTACAGGTGATGACAATAGCAACGGCAGTTCCTACCAGCATCACTTGTGTAGACTTGGTGATCAATGACACATAAGGTTTCAAAACCCCATAGTGAAACCCAGGAGTCAGCAGTTTACGATGCTGGAACCACTTTCGTCCTTGTAACGTCAGTAATCCTTTCCCTGGAGAAACACAGGCAACAAAGATCAGATGATTTCAGTCACAAGAGAAGGAAGCTGCTCAGAAAAGTGGTAAGTATGTTTTTGAGGGGGCGGGGGGAGGAATAATTTAGTTTTTTCTACATTCCTTGCAAAAATATTCAAAATCTTTTGATTTATTTTGAAGAAAAAATGGAAACATAATGGGAAAATGTTTGCTTTTCCAAAACCTTTCTTTGGTTTTTGCAGATTTAGTGTTTTTCCCCATTTCTCCTCCTTTTTTTTTTTTTAGTTGAAAAGAGGGGCATGCAGAAAAAAACTGAAAGAAAAGGAGGGAGACAACCAAAACCCCTACAATTAAAAAAGGAGTAGGTTTCCAGTTTTGAAAAATGAAATGCTTTTGGTTTGGGGGCATTGTCAAAAATTCAGAAAATTTGAAGAAAACCCACATATATATCCACATTTTCATTTAAGAAAGGCCTTTTTCTCATGGAAAAAAGTTCCAAATTAAAAAATTCAGCCTGTCAACCAATCTGATCATTTCTGTATCAATGCCTTAGCCTCGAGGAATTTGGGTCCACGATCAACTAGTATTACTAGCTACGCAGTTCAAGTTTAGGGAATGCTGCGCACCTGGTATTTCTGGCTCAACCGGAAGAAAGTACCAGAATCTAATGAGGTAGTTTCTGCTTGCAAAATCTCCAGCCTGACTTTTTTCTAAGTGCAAGAGGTTCAGATAAGCAGCATCTGAATGTGTCTCCAAACCAAACCTCCGTGTCTCTCCCCCACCCTCACCCCCACTCATTACATTTTATCCTGTTTGCTAGTTTCAAAGTAAATATCTTACAAAATCTCATTTCACGTCAATATTTATTTCCAAGGTGGAAAGGTAACTGGGTATGCCCATCACTACCCTATTACAGGCTTTCCCCTGGTACCATTAGCCTATTGTAAGACTGCAGTCACCCTCTTCGTAATAGAGAACGGAGAGACCTGAGGGGAGCAAGAAGATTCCTTCAGGGTGAGGACAAAGCCTGTGGGTGGAGGGTGGGGGTAAGATACACGACTGGAGCAGGCTTCTGTGGTTGACCCTGATACAAGGGCAGGAATTTGGCTTCTTGGGGAGAAACCCTGGGAGGAGCTGATTGTTACAAAGAACTGAAGAAGGGACTGAAGGCAGAAGGAGTCCAGGGAGGCAGCAGCACCGTGTCTGAGGGAGCAGATCTTGGCTGCTTATCCCAGGGTTCCTGGCCTGGAACCCAGTGTAGATGGTGGATCTGGGTTCCCCTACTAGCCACTGGGAAGGTGGCTTGAAGCCCCTGACATAAGGGGATCAGGATGATTTAAGGCCCTGGGAAAGGAGTATAGGGAGTGGACATTGAGGCTGAGATTTGGGACCGAGGACCAGAC